TTATTTGAACTACATATTTTTTGTACATGAGAAGAAAGGAAATTAATTTAAAAAAGGGTTGACAATATTATACCAGAAAATTTACTACGGCTAATATTAATCAGCAACTAGCAACACTTGTTTCCTACAACATGGTGTGTACATAATGAAATTAGATCGAAGTAATATTTGCTTTTTACGTCTTTGTACGATTGTGCATAAAGTATTGAATAAATAAATTCTATCTATGAAAATGTTCCCTTTATAATTTTAATTTCAAAATTTCACAATAAAAGGATTAGTTAAAAAAATTTACTGAAGCAAAACCTGTTACAGTAAAAATGTTTTTGAAACCATTAAATCGAACGTACAATTCTTTTTATTACTCTATATTCCTTGCGGGGTTACTTGTATCACCAATCGCCAATCGCCGGGGATCACCAATTGCCACGTGTATGTAAAGAAAGACGTACACCTCCTCATTTTCATTACCCTTTTTTTATACCTGCATGTTCGCCGATTAATGTGATTTCTGACATCACTTAACAATATGCGATCTATTTGATGGTGAATGGTGTGTCTTGGATGGCCTTCCGCGGCTTCTACTTCCACTTTCGCATTGTTCATTACTTATGTGATTGTTTCGTTTGAAATTCTTTCCACATGTCCGGAGAATACTTCTGTTGTTTCTTACACCCATTCAATAAGTATTCGATTTAAATTGACTTAGAGAAAAAGTATTTTGCATGAATAAAACTTAATAGTGATGTAACTTTTTACATTAGTGGATATAATTTCTATTCTTAACTTTTACATTTCAATATTATATTGTCATATCAACAAATTATATTATGTTTGGACAAACTGGCAATGTACACAAAAAGTGCAAATAACTGTCACCCTTCTTGTCAAGCGATTATCTGTGAGTGGCAATAACTCGGTTCCGAGTCTATATCAACAACTACTCCAATATCAACCATAACCCATACACAATAAGCTTCATAGAATAGGTATACACTAAAAAAATCTGTTGTTCAAAAGTCAAAACTGAGCATTGGAAATTGAACTTTATTCAGAACGCGTAATGGCCTGTCTATTAACAATAGGGTAGAAGACCTACCAGATGTCAACGCGGTACCGATCTATTGTTAACAAATATGGGTACAATTGAGCACAATGCTTTACACTATTTTATTTAGCGAAGGCAAGTAGGCTGAACGAGCCAAATGTCAGCTATTTGATAATTGGGGTATCCAATTGTGAAGAGAGCCAAATATGGCACGCAACTGTTATGTTACAAGTGGCAATTTTCTGGTGACGCTTCGAAATGCTGATAATAGTTTTTGTGTTTCATCAAAATGCGGTACCTGTATACCTTACCTACCTACTTGAGTTTACCGAAAATTTCACTTCAAGAATAATATCCATAATAATATTATCTAATATGTATCCTGCAACTAGATTAATATCGGTCGGTTTTTTCAAAGAAGTCCTTTTTACATTAGTAATGCATAATTTCATAATTTTAAAAATATAAAAAAAATCCTCACATAAATTTTTCATCCCCAAACTAAATTATTTGTTATGTTTTTTAATCGTAAATTTAAAAACTGTTCTATTCTATTTTGTAATAAAAAACAGCACAGAACTCGACGTCCATCGAGCACAGCAGAGCGATTCCGTATAAATCTGAACCCGAAAGCGAAATCACTTCGAAGTGAATTCGCTTAACCTATTTTAGTGTAGAAATTCTTAATTCAAATAATATAATTACCCTATATACCTATATTGCACTATTTGTTGTAAATGTTCACACTATAAAAAGTGATGTACCTACATAATTTCCGGAGCCTGTTCATTACAAACAAAACAATCAAATTTTTCCTCTTTATAACAATATGTAGTATAAATATTTATTTTACTGTTGTTATGTTCATAAAGGTTATCAGTATTAATAGCAGCATACAAACCTAATGTTAGAGCGCAGTAGCTTTCCTACTAGTATTATAAATGCAAAAATTCGTGAGTAGTAGTAAATTTAATCTACTTAATTTATAATTTGTTTAATTGGTTAAGTATAATGTAAATTATCTTCAGAAAATATCTGCTGAATCGTTTCTAATGATAGAAAATAGTGTTTGTTTGTTAATCTTGTATTTAACTTGTACATTTTGTTTTACCTAATTTTTATCTCGATATAAAACAACGGTAGAAAACCGCTAATATATTTTCATATAAAAACATACCTACCTTTTAATATTTTGAGAAACAACACAGTTTGTGTTTTAATTATAATAATGACTATGCTTGATAGATAACATTCAAATCTATTTAAACGCGTAATCAGTGCATTTCAATCAAAATGTACGTCGACTAATTAGCATTGAGGAAATTAATCTATGAGATGTCTATTGTTTACCTATGTTAACTTGAATTACATTTTATACGAAAGCATATACCCGTACCCTTAGCCATAGGTACCAATCACCATATTGACCCCATGTTGATATTTTTGTAACTAATTGAATTGAAAGATAATTTATTGTCATCCACATCTGAGGTTGTATATGCGTGAAAGAGCCGGAGCTATCAAAATGTTCGCGATAAGAAAGAGACGACTGATCGGCCCTTTCTGTGGGAATCAAATCACGACTCATACGCAACGCCTGTAAAAGGACCCATTATCTACAGGTCGATGCGATTTCTAGGGTTATTTTTTTTATTGTATAAATTAACATTGCTTTTGAACTCGCCTTTCTTTTAGAATTCATTATAATGATTACAATTAATAGTATAAAAATATAGATCTAAACATTTTATCTTCATTTAACGTATCCTTTGCAAGGTTCTATTTAAAATTCCATATCGAAAATGCCAACTATATAGATTTGCTATTGTGATGAAATACTTTATCATTGGTATTTTCGTCACAATAATATTTTCGTACATAAATTGTTTTAAACTATGAGTGAAACTTTTTAACTCTCAAGCGCCAGCTTAAGGCAATTGGTTGTCAGTGATACTTAGTTTTTAGCTGCTTGGTTAAGATAGCTGTGATTATGCAAAACGTTTGTAACAATGTATTTACCTATATTCTTCTTCTTTGGTAATTTGATAATAATTTTGAAATTAGTTAATTAATTTTTTAAATTATAAATTGATCAATTTAAAACATCCAATCAGCGCGATGCCTTCCTTTTCGTACTCCGAAAAAAAAAACGTATCTAATTATATTTTTTGGACTAACCAAAGGAATAAAAAATATTTTTAAGAGGCATAAAAACTAGTAACAATTTTCAGTTTGTTGTATAAATTTAAAATGTCTGTAAGTTGTTGTTATAATATTTTTTCAATTGGAAAAATCTTGAGACATATAATACTTTCAGTGAAAAGTAAACACGCTGTATTTACCGTGGGCAGGTTCGGATGCACCTGAGTATTTCACACCGCGACTCGCTGGCGCCGACGGCCAGTCTACGGACAGTCAATAGTCTGTGACCTGGTACCATAGACCTATATCAAAACAGATTTGCGGAGGTGGACAACATTCTAATAATATTTTAAATAAAAATAAATCACCAGTACATGAAACTTTTATTGAAATCAGGCGATGAATCTACACCACTTACATAGAAATTCGTGAATTATTTTACAGGTATTGAAGTCGGTTTTTATATCATTTTTATTTATTTCAGCTATATCTATGTGATAATATCACTGTTTGCTGTAAATAATGGTCGGTTGTACAGATATTTAAGATTGACAAGTAGCAGAATAGTATTCTGTGATTGTCTTTCACTTCCGGAAACTTTACGATGAGCTTTTCGCAATATAGTTGCATTGGGCAAAGTAAGGTAGCAGTATTTGTTATATATGCGTTTGAGGTGTTAATAGGTAATTTGAGAAAGGCACTTACGTAAGAAATATAATAGATTTTTTATAAATCTGATTCCAGAAAATTGAAATTTTTATTAGGCCAATTTAATATTTGCTAATTAAAAAGTTAAGACCAAATGAACCTAAAAAGTATTAATTTTTAAGCTTCTTTAATCTAACATTAACGACGCTATCTACTGTCACTTCTGATAGAAGCATAAGACTGTCCGCCCACTAGCTATGTACGATGTCGTGGCCCGTAAAGGTATTAGCGCATTCCTCAATCCCTGCTGTCCGAGACCGGCGCACGACATTGTCGGTCGACCACCGCGCCCCCGCACTATTATTACACCTTTACACTATATATTGCACGTTTATATACCTTCTAGTGAATCATGTACTTTATATAAAATTGTATTTCAAATAATAACAGAGAACTTGGGAAATTTATTCGACCGACTAGATTGACCGACCAAAGTATGATGACTGAGTAATGACTGACAAATGCATTAAAGCAAGTATTTATTTTAAATCATTGGATACTTAAATATTTAGAGGCGCCAATCTTTCTGCCGATTCATGATAAATTGATAATGGAAATAAATATCATTTATAAACGAAAAAAAAAAATGAATAAAATTAGGAACGGTAAGCGATTTTTTCGTTAAATCATGTAATTTAGTAACGATGAACGATTTGACCAACTTTAAGTCATTAATCCTAAAAGTAGTAGTAACTTATGGGTATAATCAAGGCTAGAGAGTTAGGCGGTGGTTGCACCCCAGGCCAGACAATGAGTCAGATAAGCACAGATGATGGCAAATTGCGCGAAACAAGGTTGGAGTGAATTTAACGAGGCATTGAGGTAAATACTTACAATATTTTTGATTCTAGTTCTAAAAGAAAAACAAAAATTTAAAATACAACGCGAAGCAGAAAATGGTCAGAAATAATTACTCTCCGACTTAAATGTCGTAAACAATTATTGCGAAATTTCTCAATACCACTATAAGTGAAGTTAAAGTAAATTACATGAGTACCTTTAGTAGAAGTTTTTTACGTTAAAATGAAAACAAATATTTCTATTAATTGTATCCATCTGTTATTTTAAAAGAATAAAAAAGATATAAGAAACCAATAAATCAGTGCAAGCATATGTTTATTAGCAATAAAAAACGGATACATGAATAATAACGTTGGAATTTAAATAAAAAAAACCTTACAGTCTATTATACTTAGCGTAAAGTTCCGTAAATAATTTTGCCCTTGATGGGTATAACTCAGTCTCACGTTTCATTACCAAATTTTCATCTATGTACAAATAAGGTAAACTTGTTTCTGTTGCTGGTTCCCATTTTGTAGTGATTAAGTTATTGATATTTGGCGTTGGGTTTCTGCAAATAAATGTGTTATTTTAATAAAATAATTAACAATATACACAAATCTATATTTAATTATTACTACAAAAGACTTTAAGTACCAAAAATATACCAACCCATGCTTCGCAAAGTTTGTCCACATTTCAAGCAGCCTGTCCCTGACTAGTTCATCAGTTTTGGAAACACTCTTGCCAAGAATAGCGTCACATCTTATCAAATATCCACCATCATCCCCGTGACAAGCCCCTTTCCTTTCTATATTGTATTTTTTCTTAAGATAGTTCAAGCCTCCATCGTAATCAAATTCGTAAAAATATACCGGAGAATTATGTTTAGCAATCAGTGATGTGGCCACATATCCACCTCCGAAGAAGTCTACATCTGAGAAGAAGTCAATTCCAAATGTATCCGTTTCACCATACTTCGGTTCAATCCCACAATAAATGTTCTTTATTTTGGAATCTAAATTGGTTTTATCTGATTCGGGAATTTCGAATGGCAAGTAATCTAAAAAGTTATTTTCCGTCATTAGCTTCTCTAATTTTTGTGTGCCGTAGAAAGCCATAAGAAGTCCTTCACGAGAACAAAATCCCGTTATAATAGGTACTTTATTAAACTTGCCTTGTGATAACAAATCATATGGCTTCTCATCCAAAAATGTTTCCCATTCAGCTTTTTTTTCAACTGCAGGCACAAAGCCAAAGTATATTCCTCCGTGCATTTGTCCAGATTCTATAACTTTCATAGATAACAATATTAATTCTTTAATCGGCAAACTTTTGAGGTATTTCAGTATTTCTTCATCGGTTTGAATAGTTTTTTGCGCGACTTCGGGAATTTTGTGCGATAGCTGTTTTAATTCATTATTATGAGCCCATGGCAGTAACGATGACCCAGATTGTGCAATTGCTTTGTGAAATAAACCTTCTGCTGTTCGGGATAGCATTAAATATTCGACAGAGGCGGCCCCTGCACTAAAACCGAATATTGTTACATTTTTAGGATCACCGCCAAATTTCATAATATTTCTCTGGACCCATTTAAGTGCTAACACTTGGTCTCTTAGGCCCATATTGCCAGGTGCGTCTTTATGATCCAAAGATAGGAAGCCAAGGACGCCTAAACGGTAATTGAAAGATACAACAACCACTTCTTTTTGTACTAAGTAATCTGGACCATGTGTCTTATCATCGGTTCCATTTCCATATACAAAGCCTCCGCCATGGATAAACACCATCACAGGTAGGATACTAGAATTGGTTGAAGGTAACATTGGGGTGTAAACGTTCAAATACAAACAATCTTCATCTCCGACAATCGTATTGGTAGCGCGATCTAACTGGGAACAGATATTACAATCTTTCGTTGCATCTCTTATTTCATCCCATGCTTCAGGTGGCACAGGTACCTAGATGTGGACAGAGAGTGTATAATAATTATAACAATTTAATAATAAACAAGATACTAAAATTTTGACATTAATAATAGGTATTTGACGAGTTGACGACCTCTATGGGGGTCTGTCCTAAGGCGTTGCTATCTCAAAAGCCCTGGATTCGATTCCAAGCAGTGCTAGTAGGTCAATGTACATGAATTTTCATGTTTTTTTTTCTGGCTGGGTGTTACAGTAATTTCGTCGTCTTTCATCATCAGGCCTTTTACGTCCCCCTGCAGGGGCTTAGGTCTATGGACCATATAGATATTTTAATATAAATAATATTTATAAAAATATAACAACTTATTTATTTTTTTATTTTAGTATTTATGAAGTTGTATGTGGTACAGTATAGTAGTTAGTTATAGTAGGAGCTCAATTGTGCAGTAATCAACTTTCGTAATGACCGATTCACAATGCTATATTAATAAATAAATCATCATCATCATCACCATCAGCCCTTTTACATCCCCACTGCAGGGGCTCAGGCCTTCCTTAATGAGCCATAAATAAATAAATATCTTTAATGAAAAATGCTTAAAAAATCCACCCGCTTAAGTCCCGTCTTCGGATACCTGGGGTTGGTGGACATTTTGTTCTTTTTACAGTACTATTGGATATCGGGTAGCTCAATGGTTAGAGCAGTCGCCCGGGTTGCGAAAAGTTGTGGGTTCGAGTTCCATTTCGAGGCATCAGGTGGGGGTTTTTGTTTATCATATTTCATTAAAGAATATCTATACTCACTGATAAAACCACTAAAACATTTTATAGCTTAAAACTGGTTAGAACAGCCGTGATTGTGCCGATGAAGATTTAACTCGAAAACTAGTTATTAGGTTGAATGGTACCATTCAATTAACGGGCTAGCCGTCCAATTATATGGCTGTTTTTGAAAAATTGGTTGCGACATAGACAAACGAACGAACCCAAATTCGACAAGACAACATGAATATTATATCAAACCAAAGCCTTCGTCTAGAAAAATCAAACGAGTACATACTCGATGGTATTGCTACTTTAACGAGGCCATCCATATGCTGTAATATAGTGTATGTGTATCTGTTCATATGCTATCGACGCTACCACCATCATCAGATCGGCTCAATTTGATATTAATATTGCATTATCACCTAAGTTATATATTCATGTATCATCTCAATCGAAAGCCAGAAAGTGAGCGAGATTAAAGTCAAACTACCTACATAAAAGCTTGTAATGTCGACTTCCGCGGCTAAGTGATTCGCACGTCGATATTAAATTATCGTTTCTTTTTTTATTGTATAGAGTTTTCATATTGTACGATTTTTGAGATATTTAGTTTGAGATTTGAGCAATTTACCAATGTGATATTGTCTTAATATTTTTATTTCTTTGAGAGAATGTAATGAGGATATAAGGTCCATATAGGTACAAGATAAAAACAAAATCCAGATAAATGTAGGTACTTTTAATTTTATTTTATTTGGTAAACAAACAGTGATAGTAAATATTTATTTGCCTATGTGGTGTTTATTTATATAAATTAAAGAATGAGTTTATTAAATGTATTTTATTTTTACGTTCTCCCTTGAAAACCTCAAGATTGACAAGGAGGAAGGAAATCAATCATAGACTAAATTAGATAGTATTCATAGAGCTAAATCAATAATCGAGGAGATACTTATCATAGATATTAATCGATTATCATCAATATTACCTCTATACACAATGTTCTAATGGTTAGCTTACACGTAATTAGGTAAATAAGTAGCAAGTAAGTAGATTTTTAACTAAATTATCACTATCATTTAAAATTTACTTAAAAATGTAATTGCTTCTTATTTACTTAATTACGTGTAAGCCAGGGATAAATGTTTACCAATATTTATAAATGAACTAGTAACGTTTAACACCTAGATTTATAAAAAAGTAGGTCGAAAAATTACTTACAGAAAATCTCAAGTCTCCAACTGGCGGTTTCGCGTAAGGAATGCCTTTAAAACTGTAAAATTTTGAATTGTCTGGCGTTTCACATATCTTCCCCCTCAACTTTCCCTTATCTACTTCTACAATTATATCTGACATTATATATTACAAATTTGTAGGTTATTTGTGGACGGAAATTGGTAGAACTTGTCTGAATTATGTACAATAATATGAAGTGGAACTTATTTTAAGCAGGTACCTACTACAATATTTATCTTGCCTTTCACTTTTTAACCTTCAACAAATATTAAATTTTATAGGTACTTTCGTAAATTTGCGAACTCTGGTTACCAATTTGACAGATTACAAATAGGTTCGTAGTCGAAGCATCCAGCAAGTTGCCATAAAGCACTCTCGGTAGCTTTTATTCTGGTGGTACTTGTGCTTTGTTTTAATCAAATTGTTTCGACAATGATAGCTAGATGGCTCTTAATTCATCTTTTTCCAAATAGCTAGTATATCACAAAATGCATGTAGTGGAAATTATAACTGTAAGGATTGAGCATGACACAAAAACAAATAGAAATAGTGTCTTATGAAACTATTACTCTCGTCAAAAAAATTATGGAAGTTTAAATTGATAAGCATATACCGTTGCACTTGTTATTACGACATTCCTAAGTCGACTCGATTCTTGAACCAAACAATGAGAATATAATAAATGCACGATAAACAGTGCAGATGCATTATGTAATTAAACTTATTTCAAGCAATTTGTATTCTTAAATTATAAATATTTGAGATTATATCATACTTTATTCTACTCCAACTTGCATATTTCTACTATAGCAAAGTAAAACAGAACACGACGGAGTTCATGATATAATAACGATAGAATATTCCCGCTGAGGGTGAAGTGACTGCACAGCCTCTCCGGATGTTCACCTGTGTGACAAATGGAAAGGATTACATATTTTTTGTTGCGGCAGAATCACATCAATTTTTTACCCTAGCTCCAATAAATATCTAGAATGCTGCTAAAATATTCATGTATACAATAAAAAACTTCTTTGTTGAGAAACTAATTTAGTAACTGATAACCTGATTATCGCTGATGCCTTTCATGATGTAGTAGTTGTCGTATTTGAAAACACATTTATTTTATACATTACCATACTGTAAAAAGTATATTTTGACTCATCTGTTGAACATTGTTGTTACTACAAAGATATGAACATTTCAAATTATAAAATTCCCAGATTTTCTGGAAGTATTTGAATGCGTATCTAAAAAAATTTGATTTTATGGGTATAAAACAAAGCATTTTTAAATTTCGCGATTAAAAATATAGTGATTCCTATGTAATATGCAAATGTTAAAACTATTCTAATCTAAAACTCTCCTCTACATATTACGACTACCGCAGATATACATAAACTCCACCATGAAATAATAAATTCATTACAAAGCAGATACAAATATCTGCTTTGTGATTAAAGCAGATACAAATAATTATCTGTTTTGTGATTACCACAGAAAATCTATACTAACAGGTATTATAAAGGGGTGTTTCTAACTTTGACTCTATCTTATCTATCTATATGATTTCAAACATTTGACAGGTTAATTTTTTTTTCTACTGTACCTATGTTTTTCATAAACACAATGTTGCTTTTGGTTTGCCGTCAAGAATATCGATCTAAGTGACATCAGTGTTCCAAAATAAGTTTTTATATAAGAAGCCAGGGTTACATCATGTTATGTGGTAATGTTAAGTATTATAAAGTTATTCGTTTCCATTTTATCACTTTTCGTTGCATTTAGCTCCAACAAGAGACTAATCTTCGAATCCTGTCCGTATTTTTTTTTCAACGAAGCTTATTTTTCAATACTGAAATTATATTTGAATGTTTTTGACAACAATTTATTATGAGCTGAATTCGTTTAATTAGAATTCTTTCCCAAACTAATTCGTATTTTAGTCTGAGATAGCCGGATGCGCACCTGTGTTCATCTCGTGGGACCCCATTGAATACAAGCTATTTTCAACCCAATGTCTCCTTGTTTAGAGTCCCTAATGTGATTTTTTTTAGTCTGGCCGCAGAGTTTGTATGGCGTTGTTTGTTGTTATTTTGTACGCTCTGAACATCCGCGTGCTATTATTGCAAGTATTTATTATACTGTGACCATAATTTATACAGGTTATTGTAATACCTCTGTTTAATAAGGGAAATTGAATATATCTAATTATTCTAAAAAACCTCAAGGTCTCGGGGTAGATTTGTAAACGAATAGCATCTTTCGACATTCGCAAGTGTTTTTGAGCCTAGACTGAATAAAACTGAATTTGAAAGTATAGACAGTACTTTTTTTTAAATTATCCATGCACTAGTACGAACAACTTTATATGTGCCCCGGCTTCCATTACATTACTAGGTAAAGGTTTTATTTTATTTATTCATTCAACAAAGTTTCAATAGCAGTTTTGTTATTTTAATACAAAAATAAGTATGCAGCATTGTCATCAATTATAGAAACTTATTATGTTTACAAATCTTATTAATAAATTAATCATAATGAGGGCATTTAACAAAGAAAATGTAAGTATTAGATGAACAAATATATATACATATAAATTATATCGCACGATAAATAGGGTGTATGTTTATGTGTTTATGGATGAGTTTATGTGTATAAATAAAGTGGTAATGCATAACTAGAAATTCAATTCATAATTTCGTATTAACTCTAAAACTCTAGACCGCGCGTCGAGTCGAGATTTCTATTTAATGAATAATGTAAGCGTGTGTGTGATAATTTTAAAATTTAATCACTTGGCTATATATATCTCTGAATCGTTTATGATTTATTTATGGTAATATAAATACCTAAATCTGAAACATTATTTTTATCTTTCAGCAGGTGTACAAAAAAAAAAGTACGTACTTTAATCACAAAAACTAAAGTTATAGGAAATTATGAATATAATTTGCTAGTAACACATTAGTCTTTTGGAAACCTATACAAGTTTCCGGTGTTTATATTTGTATATTAGCCGAATTATCCTAAAATTTTAAAATATCGTCGTCCTCCTACAGTGGAACACGTGAGTTGTTTGCAAAATTTGGCTCTTTAGTTGGCCGTGTGAACCCGCCCGCGATCTTTTTAAGATTTCACATTCCTACAATACAGCTTTTTATAAACCATTCAACCGCTTTATGCCTAGAATCTTTTTAAAACTTCCAATGTGTCCCACGCAGTATGAACTTATCATACTTTTTGGTAACACAATAGAAAAAATTCGGCCAAGTAAATATCTTCATAAAAATGTTAATAAATAATGTATTTTTAATAACTCAGATATACTTTAATTAAAGTTGGTAAACCTAATAACAGAAAAAATGTTTTGCAAATAATATCGTTTATCATCTGAAAGGACTTGTTTACCTAAATATAGTCGTCCACGATCTTGATAATTACTTTTAACTATTTATCTTTTATGGTCCATATCTTGGTATTTATCAGCGGTGTTGAGGATCCAAAATCATCACAAAACATGCACACCACTTCTGTGCAGTAGTTTCCGAAATTTACAAGAGCATTATATACCTAATTTGCGATACACGACTGACAGTGTTGTGTGAATTGTGTTATCGATCGCGAGACATATAGTTATCGATGATTACCACTAGCCGAGGTTTCGAGATTATAGAATAAGGATTTATATCGAAAAAATAATATGGCAACAATAAGGTAAAAATCTATTCTTATTTAAAAGATTATTGCGGTGCTCGTGTGATTTTATTAGTTCCTATTTAAATTGTCTCCCATTTAGAGTATTCAGATTGTATTGAGTAAAGGAAATAAACTAATAACTGTACAAAAATAATTAGAATTTATGTTGCTTACAATAAATTATCTTGATTAGTAGAGGTTTGGATAACAGTTTATTTATATGTCTATCTAATTCACATTATGTTTAGACGAGTTGTACCTATTCATCTGTCGGGCAGTTGCATAAGCGTCTATTAAGATTTATTAACAAATTATCAAATTTTAATGTTTTGAAATTTGGTAATTTGCACCGGTAATGTTGCTTTAAGCAAAAAACAGTTTTAATTGACGTTTGTGGAATTGGAGATTAGAGTACAAAATTAGTACAAAAGCTATTTTATCGATTTCTAAGCCCATCACTATGAGCAGAGATTCTTTGTGTTGACTGGATGATTACAGTACTGTATAACTACATAACGTCCAATGTATTCATATTGTGTCTGTACAGCGGCGCGTGCAGGTGTGTTAGAGACTGACCGGCGCCTGCGCACATTCTTTCAACGGTCACCAGAGTCTTGACTCTGTCGAAGTACTCGATGACGTGATTCGTTAAATGTGAGTTGCTATTTATTTAACAGAATCACGTGTGTACGCGCATGGTGTAGGTATATTGTACGATGAATAACATAAAACTTTTTCCTTATTAACAGTGTTAAAGGTGTGTATTTTGTTTTGGAACAAAGTAGTAAATTAATGTAAGTAGTGGTACATCTCACCACCTTTCAATAAATCTATACAAGGATTAAAGTTTAGAAATAAAGCGAAGTTAATTCCATCAGCACCCGCCTTGTGAGAAAATACCTTTTAAGAAAACAGTCAACAATGAACCTATGTATAGACATATCTATGTTATATGTAGCTACCTATAAGTTTTTTACAGGCAATAATGCAACTGCAATAAATTACACATATAACAAACAAACGACGCACAGACAATTTTAACTTAACACCAATAAGTTCTTTATCATATATTGCACGAGTGTTTAAAAAGTTATTTTTTTTAGGTATCAAAAACTAAAATTATATAGTTAGACATAAGAAGCAATTTCTTACTTGTAACAACCCTATTAAATTATCGCTGAACCCAAACAAAATTTGCATATTGCCAAAATAGAAATAAAAAAGTATAAAAAGTTAAAGCTCTTTTTTATTTATGCTGATAATTAAAAGACTTTTTCAAATATTTCATTTTCAGTCAACTAACAATGTATTGCTTTTGTATAAAAGTTTTAGTTTTAATCATTTGGAATATACATAAATTATATTTTACATTTCGTGCATCAAATGTCATGATATATAAAAATGTTTTTGCAGAGTAACAGAATTTTGTATTAAATTTCTTAACATGTAATTTATTTTATAGAGTCCCCGACCACCAAAACCCTGGGATGGAGAAAGAGATGCCACAACAAATGATCCTAAGCATATAGCGCAACAATTTGAATTCGTTACTTTTGCTTTGAATGGTAGTGAAGACTGCCTCTACCTTAATGTCAGTACACCAAAATTACCAGAAAATGAAACTTTTGATCATCTACCAGTTATTGTGTATATACATGGCGGTGGTTTCATAGGCGGCAACGGGATCACTAAAGAGTTCAATATACCAGATCAGTTAATTGATCATGATGTGGTTCTTGTTACTATTAATTACAGACTGAACGTATTCGGTTTCTTATCACTAGATCTTCCTGAAGCAGCCGGTAATATGGGTTTAAAAGATCAAGTTTTTGCACTAAAATGGGTTCGAGATAACATCAGAGTATTTGGAGGAGACCCAAATAATGTAACCATTTATGGACTTAGTGCTGGTGCGGCATCTGTTGAATATCTTCTGCTATCTGAAACTTGCAAAGGTCTCTTCTCTAAAGCCATATTGCAATCAGGATCCGCTATTAACCATTGGGCTAGTCAGTATAATATTCTTGACCTTAGTGTAAAATTAGCTCAAAATCTTGGCTTTAAAGGCAATGAAACTGATACAAAGGCGATACTTGCGTTTTTAATGGAGCAACCGTCTGAAAATCTTAGTATAAAAGCAAAAGAAACTGTTGCTGCATCGGCAGTAGATGGACTAAATTTTGGCTTTGTACCATCAATCGAGAAAGATTTTGATAACGGTGAAGCTTTCCTTACCACATATCCTTATAACTTATTGGACAGCGGAAACTTTATCCGAGTTCCAACTATCAGAGGATTTTGTGAAATGGAAGGTCTTTTAAACGAAATGTTTAATCCTAATGTTGTTAAAAAATTGAAGGAACATAAAATATTTACTGATATCTGGAAGTATCCCATAAACTCTAATGATCGAGAACATTACAATAAGAAGTTATATGAAGAATATCTTCAGGGAAAAAATAATGATACTGAAATAGAAAATGGTATTTTTGAGTTTTTAGGTCACCACGATTTTACTGCTGGTATTATATTAGCCACTCGAAAGGCGATTCTTTACGACGCCATACCTTCTTACTTGTATATGTTTGCGTTTGAAACTCCGAACAATTTTGTTAGAAAACTTTTTAAAATGAGTAGAAAAGGAGTTTGCCACGGGTCTGACGCAGGCTATACGCTAGGAATAGATACAACAAAAATTTATGGCAAGATAACTCCCACCACGTCTGATGTGTTGATAAGTAAAAGAATGTGCAAGATGTGGACGGATTTTGCCAAAACAGGGTAGGTGGTTGACGAAATGTTACTTATTTATTCATTGTAGAATAGAATAGAATAATCGTTAATTGACACCTAGATTAATTACACAAAAACCTATTTTACAAAAACTAGGTGCTTCATGGATCATCAGCTTAGCATAATGTTAGTTAGACACAATAATACCTAACGCTGATTTTCAGCTGCAACCCTAAATTGACAAGGTATTACATAGGTAAGATCCGTCATAAAAAAGTCATACAGAAAGATGATGAATCAGATGGAGAAACAATCGAGGAAAAAAGATGGTTTTCTGCTTCTGACTTACCTACCCATATTATAACTTCTCGTCCTCTTTAAATAACACGAGATTAATTTTATTGTGAAATGGTACACCGTGGTCTTTATTCTTTTACATTATCTTTCATCCTTCTTCTTTCATTATGTAGGTACGATAACAGTTTCATAATTGTTTTATGTCCTAACCAAATAAATATGGAATGCGAACAAAATACCATAAATAAACATTACATTGCTTACAGGAATCCGACTCCGTCTACTGATGATCTTATACCTATTGTGTGGCCAGCTTACAACGATAAAGAACAATCATATTTGGTGATAGATGAACAAATGAGAATTCAACACAGATATGAACCTTCAAAAATAGCTATATTTGAAGAAATTTATAACAAATATAGAAAATAAATTAAAGAACCAAATCAACAAATAAAGAAGTGGAGTTCTCAATTCGAAATAAAATTACAAGAACATTCAGCGCTATTTACATCACATCATTGGAAACATATAACTTTTTATACGACTTTTAAGAAAATAAAAAAAAAATATAAATAATGCATTACCTATTTCACTACAATTTGGAAGTAAATTTAAAACTAAATTGTTGTTCCTAGTGTTATAATCCTATAAATCAATGATACAAGCATTTTTTTACATTCATTACAATTAAAATACAATTCCATATGCAAACTATATTTGTGACATGATTACCAAATACCTAGCACTTACTACCTTGTATGTGCATAAATCAGTTTTATTAGCTTATAGATACACATATAAGTAGGTAGTTCATTAGTTATTTATTTTCATATAAAGTTATTACTTAGGTAGGTACTCTTATTTCATAGATTTCTAATAGGTTTTCCAATAATTATAAGTAAAGAACCAGTTTCTGTATTTTTTAAGTAACTTTCTGTCTTAAAATTATGAAAAAGATAATTTTAATGTTACAGTAAGCTTTTCTATTTGCTCTTATTTGACGAACCACACAATTTATTAGTTGCATAAAAGTTTAATCCTTATAATTATCAATAGGAACTCAGACCAAGTAAAAAGTTAGGCCAAGATTTTAATTATAAATTTTAAATTAAAAAGGTTCCTTTAGAGTGAAACCGTATATAGAAATTATTTTATTTTATTTAAAATATAATTTCTCCATTTAATAATTTTTGTCTTCAAAATGGGTTGCTTGTAAGCATTGTTTTTAGTTCCATTAAAAAAAAAATATCTTAAAAAAATCGATTTCGCTCTTGCTTATATCATTTGTAAAACTGTTATTAATATATGTGCACGTGCAATGACGTATAGTGCCATCTAGTGACTATAAACTATTATTATAAACTTTAAACATAAAAGATGAAGCATATTGCTGTCTAGTATTGCTTTTGGTCACTAGATGCCAGAATAAAATTAATTTGCATTTAAGTAAAATTGTAATATATAAAATATTGTAATAAAGTAAAAATGAGCATTATTGTTAATATGTTATTACAGAATTTAAATTTATTAATAAGCTATGTCTATCATCACAAACATACTGTGATGAAATTCCCTTTCATATGTATTAATGTTGCTTTTCGACACTAGATGTCATAATAGTAACGAGAATGTGTTTGTCTTTGAGGTCTTTACTTGAAAATGAAATTATGATTTTAGAGCAAATATATTTGTTAATTATTTATAAAAAAAATCCTGTTTTATACATATTCATAATGTTATTTTGGTTTAAAATACTTGAAATACAAATTTAAGGACTAGGCAACACCAAAAACACATGGACGTTCAAAATGACAACCAAAGAGAAGAAATCATTCATTCGCCGGCAAGAATAGAGTAGATCTTCCTTTGTAGGTTACTTCGGATTCGGAATTTTCTAGATCGTATCAACGAACTGTCCTTAAAGGTTTTCATTTGTTTCGTCACTTACTCCCAATTTAACTTAAAGTACAGAAAAATGGCCAACGCAGTGAAACGTTTAGTGCCTTTGCTCGATCGCGTGCTTATCAAGCGTGCCGAAGCGGTTACCAAAACCGCTGGAGGTATCGTTATCCCAGAGAAGGCTCAGTCCAAAGTTCTTCATGGTGAGGTTGTCGCAGTTGGAACCGGTTCCAGAAAGGATAACGGAGAGTTTATTCCAGTCCTAGTAAAGGTCGGTGATAGAGTTCTGCTACCTGAATATGGAGGCACCAAAGTGAGTCTAGAAAACGACGAGAAAGAATACCACCTCTTCAAAGAGTCCGACATACTGGCGAAAATCGAAAATTAGATTTAGTGTTAGCTTATAATAGGAACATTCTGAAATTCTGGTTCTGTTAGTCATAGAATTTGTAGTGAATGGCCATGTGATCGTGTAATATGATGTATGCAGTGGCATTGATGTTTACTCTGTTGCATTTCTAATTATAATATTGTTATAATAAGATTTGTGTATTATTTTCTTGTTCTTTTATAGAATCCATGAATAATTTAAGAAATTTATACTCCATATTTTAAATAAATTTTGTTATTGTTTCTTATATTTGTAAGGAAAACTTGTGTACACTGAATAATTTTAGTGACAAGTAAAAATAAAAAAGATGTTTTTAAACTTTATTAAACATATAAAAGTGCATTACATAGCTATTTGTACATAAGATGGTCATTTATAACCTCTTGGAGAAATTACATCACAATTTAATGAGATTTCAGTATAGTTTGCAAAATGTCTTTCACAACTAAAATTAGAACTACATATATCAATTTAAGTGTCAAATAATATTAAATGGCAAGTATGCTATACTATATTCAACAGCAGATTTTATTAATCATTTATTTACATTAATATTTTATTTTTACATACATGAATTTATTTAGTAGGTTTTCTCACAGTTTATCAATAAATATTAATTAGTACAATTCGAATTCTGTGGTAAGTTTGAGTAGTGGTTAACTGTATTTTTAATAGATTTGGGTTTAATTAATGATTTTTGGTAGTTTCTAATAAGAATGTTAGTAGTTTGAGTACAAAATCTGTTAAATTATTATGTGAATGACAATGCATTTTTTTTAAGTCACAATTTAAAAAACATATTTCTAATATGTAATATTTATTATCTACAGATAAAACACACAAATTATTCTAGTGTCTCAAATGCACGAGATGAACCTTGTCTTCTTCTTCTTTTTAATTAATGGCGTTATCCTTTTGGATTTTGCCTGAATCCAGTGTTTCGCTCAGATTACTTCATAATTTAGTATTTTATAAACTCTGCTTTTTATATGATGGTAGTGGAAGTCCAAGTTAATATTTAGAATTTTGTTGAAGTCAAATTTTACCTACCTAATAACTTACGTATCACCAATGTTAGATCATCATAATGAACATTACATAATTATGACAATTATTTGTTAACTATTGCAGAGTTCAATCTCAGGCATCTGTCATTGAAATATGTACTCATTATGACAAGTCACAATAGATCTTATAGGTCACAGTCAGTCACAATTATGACATTTTTTTTCACAACATAAATATTAAGTTCAAATTTTCTAATAAACCTATATCTTCTTTTGATGATAAATATTTACTATTAGCAAGTTAATAGTATCATCCAGATTAAAACAATTTTTTAAAAATATAGCCATTATTAACACTAGATACTTAAAACTATGTCAAAGGTACATGTAATGGCATACATTATAAGCATTTTCATCTATTTGTTTATTGTAAAGATATGGCAGTTCGTCTCACTGCAGCCGATAAAGCTGGGTTAGGATCTGGTGGTTCTGTGAGAAGGTGAACAGACATCCAACGTCCATCTTCATTTGACTGACGCAAGGCTTCCATTGTAGCTTGTACTCTCTGACCATCTTCAAAGGTAGCTGCAGCTTTAACTGGTTCTTTTACCCAATCCATTTGTTCTTTCACTGGCAAAAATGCTTCTTTTAAAGCACTTATCAGTTTACATAAACCTTTAATATATGGTTTGGGGACTACACTAGAAGAAGCACAGCTTAAATCTTCAATGTCTACATAGATTACATCTTCCTTCTCATGTAGACGTTTTCCATCTTCTTCCGGAATTATGTGAGAAGTTTTGTGGAGTTTACCGTGCAAATCACCTCCTCTGACAACTAAGTATCCTTTCTTACTACAAACATAGATTTCTTGATTGAAACAAGGCCCAGGTAAATGGTTGTTAAGTGTTGCGGTTACTAATAATCCCTTCTCCATCTGCAATTGGAATGAACAGAAATCTGGTGCAGTAATTTTTCGAATACCATTCACTTTAGAAGTTTCTTCAACAAAAGTTCTAAGCACTCCATGAACTTTGTCCACTTTTTGACCTGTGAGAAAACTCACTAAATCTATAACATGACTTCCAACTAAGGTAAGTGTTCCACCACCCATTGTATCATCACATAACCAATTATATGTATCTCCAACTAACGGTCCCATTTGGACTCTGACATCAATAAGTGTAAGTTCATCAGGATTTCCTAAATAACCATCTTGAATACATTTTTTCATATGACTAAATGCAGGCAAAAATCTAAGGGAATGGTTAACTATAGATATCAGCGTGGGGTAGTATTGGGCTGCTCTAACCATTTTCAATGCTTCCGCTTGACAGAGTCCAGCAGGTTTATCACAGACAACATGTTTTCCTATACCTAACGCTTTGACCGATATTTGAGCGTGCAAATTTGGTGCACATACTATAAACACTAAATTGACATTTTTCTTCAGTAGTACATCATCTATTTTGTTTGTGAAGAATGGGATTTTAAGCTCCTTAGCAGCAAGTTCTGCTTCTTGCAAAGTTATTCCCCAAATAGCTTCAACAGCAAATCCTTTTTCTCTAAGGAAAGGTACTAAAACTTTTGCTATGGCACCAGTGCCAAAAACTCCTATGCCGGGTAACATTGTGTTCAATATATTAATTTAGATACGCCGCTACTTAATTTGATGGTGTTTAACAAACCACATTTATATCAATGTTGAATTTAATCATGATTAGCGTCTCGAAAAATATTTAATTTTACCATGAAACTGTCAAACGGAAACTGACACTGACAGACACTTGACAACTATTTATACGTTTAGGAATTCATAAGGCGGTCTACGAAAAAAATAAATTTGAAATGCAAATTCTTCAAAGGAGGACTATTGCGCCTGTGCAATGTGTTTTCATCGACATTCTCGATACAACATATTATTATGTGTATAATTATAATCCCCGCAAATTGTTAAAGCATCTGTCCGCAATTTTGATGATGTAATTATGCTCAATGTAATTATTGGGGATGATGTTGCTTGCGTCCGTAGGATTCTCCATCTAGTTTTTGAAACACCCTACACGTGTCCCCTGGGTGGTGCTAAACAAGTAACAACGCCGAGCCACAGGCGGCGGTCAAATAACCTGTTTACTCACGACTAACACAAGCCCTGATGGACTAAATCCCATCCAAAAGCGTGACCTTGACACCTTGGGAAAGTGTCTAAAGTATATTTCCATCCTTAATATATAATGAATATGAGTGATACTGAAATATATGTCATGCGATCCGGCTAACCCCCGGCGCTTGCAGGTACCCGGGCCTGTAAGTGTGAAATTGGCTACCGAAGACTGCACGGGTGTGGGAAACCATCCCCCGCTGTGGTAAATACTACTGGATTTACAAAGAAACTTATCCAACAGGCTACCATCCTGGCCTATTTATACGAACAAGATCTTCATCTCTAGGGAGTGATTCTTGACGCAGTACCCCTTTAAATGAAAGTAGCCGTCCTATGCTAACAGCTGAATCTACAAATGACATGGAAACAAATAACAACCCTCCACAATAAATAACAACCCTCCAATGAGTATCGATGGAACGTAACCCAAAAAGAAAAAAAATATTAAGTAGCCCTACTAATAATAAAACAGCAACTCAGATTAATACAAATAATAGATTTAGCGGACTGCCAATAGATCTGACAGAAGAAACAATAGAGGCAAATGTTGAAAAAGTTAGAAAGCCACCACCAATAATGCTGTATGGTGTGGAAGATATGTCGAAATTGACTAAATTGTTGAATAAGTCTGTACCTGATGACAGCTATTCCTATAAGATCATCAATAGAAATCAGCTAAGAGTAACAACAAAACATACAGATATCTACAAAAAAGTCATTGATATCATCCGTGTAAATGGACTTATTGGCCATACTTTTACTCAAAAAGAAAACAAATCTTATAGAATTGTGATCAAAAACCTTCAACACACAACGCCAGTAGAAGCCATAAGAAATGAAATTGAAAAATCTGGAAATAAAGTCAGAGGAAAAATCATATGTGCAATATCGTGCAAAAACAAACTGTCACTAAATATGTTCTTTGTAAAAGTAAAAATTGAGGAGCCAAGGAAAACTAATGATATACCCCAATGTGCAAGGTGTCAACAATATGGACACACAAAAAACAATTGTATTGTAAACGCCCATTTAGATGTGTTAAGTGTGCGAAAGCACATCGAACCATAGACTACCCAAAACAGGACAGAAACAGTCCGGCTACGTGCGCACTTTGTCTTGGAAATCATCCGGCTAACTATAAAGGTTGCAAGGTATACAAATAAATTCGAGCTAGAAAAATAACACAAGCAGGCACAAGAAAATCATTGTCTAACAAAGAAAAATCTAAAAAGACCCCATACCACCATAGATAGAAAATTTTCCACCACTGCCTCCTAGTCAGTATGCTAGAGAAAAGTCGACAAATAAAGATATAAGAGAATCAAACATAACAAACCCTATGACTGTGAGTCAATGGGTAAAGAAACCAGAGATAAAATCTCAGTCATCAAATACATTAGAGGTAATTATATTCAAACAGTCCGAAAAAATAGATATGCTTATTCAACAAATAAGTACTCTAAAGGGGCCTCTAACAACCATCATAGCCAAATATGAAAAATGAATTCCTTGAGAATCGCAACATGGAACATAAATTGCTTGCCTCCGAACACGCATAAAGTTGAGCTATTTATCTACCTCAATAAAATAGATATTCTATTAATCTCAGAGTCCCACATGATAGATACCAGAATAGTGAAAATAAAGGGTTGTAATATATACTATTGCAATCACCCTGATGGTACGTCGCACGCTGGAGCTGTTATTGTAGTGAGAGACAATATCAAACAACATGTCCTTCCAAAGTACAAACATGCTTACTTACAAGCTGCGGTTCTGTCCATAGACCAATGGCAGGGGACGTTAAACATAGCTGCTGTTTTACTGTCCACCTAAACATCGTATAAATGAAAAGATGTTTGAAGACTTTTTTGAAACTCTCGGCAATAGATTTATTGTTGGTGGTGATTGGAATGCAAAAAATACCTTTTGGGGATTGACGACCACCAGAGGACGGGTGCTAAAAAAAGCTGTAGAGAAAAAAAACGTTGAAGGTGTTATCAACTGGGGAACCAACATATTGGCCAACGGATTCGAATAAGTTGCCAGATCTCTTGGACTTTTTTGGCCGGTGGAGTGTCCCAAATATATACTAAAGTAGAATCCTGCTTGGATGGCTCTTCTGACCACACACTTACCATATGTATCTTAAGTGCCACCGTAATTTACAAGGAATCGCAAGAAGCTCTTTACAATAGGCATACTGAGTGGAACGCCTTCCGGGCTTATATAAATGACAACGCTAACCTACAAATTTCTCTTAAAACTGAAGAAGAAGTCGAAAATGCCACTAATAATCTAACAAATTTGGTACAGACTGCTGTCAACACCTTATAAGGAAACGACTTCATTCGAGAAACACTATGCTCTAGAAATTAAGAATAAGATTTCAGAGAAGAGAAAATTAGGACGACAGTGGCATACCAGCCGAAATAGCCATTATAAAAGCTCTCTCAATAGAATTCAGAAGGAATTGAAGAAAATGCTCAAAGAACATAGTGATAAAACTCTGCAAGAACAATGTTGGGAACTCATTTATTCTTTTTTTATTATTTAAATATAATACAACCATAGATTAGATATGTGGCCTGCTACGTCGGTGACATGGTCGCCCCCGGTGTGACAACACAATAATTTAGGGTCATCGACGTAACAAACCACACTACATATGTAAATAAATATTAATATAAAATATTATTAAGATGGTAGCACAACTAGTTTGCGGACAGGACGACGCAGAATTCCAGCCTTAGTGGCCACTTCTACTACTCGGACTACGCCGTCCTTGCCCGGAAACGTTCGGGTAACCCGCCCCCGTGGCCAGACTCCACGTGGGAGGTTACCGTCTACTATTAGTACATTATCTTTGACCTCAATATTCCTGGCGGAAGCGGAGATGCTGCGAGGTATTAATGCCGGAAGATATTCACGAGTCCAACGTGACCAAAAATGATCCGCCAAGCGCAATCCTCGTTTCCATTTTACACGGCGAATCATGTCAGTGTCGTCCACCTGAGCTAACGCTGAGTAAGGTGAAGAAGAGCCGAGTAAAAAATGAAAAGGTGTAATAGACTCTTCATCATCAGGGTCGACACTAACATGGGTAAGAGGACGCGAGTTAACTAAGCTCTCCGCTTCCAACAGGAAGGTATTGAGGACTTCCTCCGAAGGAGAGTGTTGCGTCAGGGTTACCGAGAGAGCGGTCTTGATGCTTCGTACCAAGCGCTCCCAGCATCCTCCCATGAAAGGAGCCGAGGGGGGAATGAACTTCCATTTGATTTTTAAGTTGGTGGCGAATTCGAGAACTGGCTTTGCGAACAGGATCTCCAACTCCCTGCTTGCTCCAACGAAGGCCGTGCCGTTGTCGCTAAAAAGTGAGGCCGGTGTTCCTCGTCGCGCAATAAGTCTCCTTAGTGCCATTATTGCGGCATCGGCACTTAGGTTTCCAACTACTTCTAAGTGGACGGCACGTATAGTCAGACAGGTAAATAGGGCAACATATCTTTTTTCTGTGTGCCGTCCCACCGTGACTGTGATGGGGCCAAAGTAGTCGACGCCCACATAAGTAAACGGCCGCATATGGTGCGCAAGTCTCTCTGGGGGAAGATCTCCGACAGGGGGAATTGATACTGTGGCCCTACGGATGCGGCAATATAGACATGAAGAAGCCACACTTTTCACTGCTGGTCTCAAGCCGATGATATAGTATCGCTGCCGTAGTTCATTAACAACCAGCTCGTTACTTGAATGGGCTGCGCGTTCGTGGTAGTATGCGATTAACAGTCTGATAATTCGGTCCTTTCCGTCAAGCACGATAGGGTTCTTGGACAACATAGGCACGTCTTTCACTGCTGCAATCCGACCAGACAGACAAAGAAGTTTGCTCTCGTCGTCCACCATCAAAGTTAGTCTACTTAGACGGCCATGTCTGGCTGGGGGCTCGCCCCGATGGGTTAAATTGTAATCCTCTCGTAAGGTCGATAGTTGGGATTGAAGTAAAAGGAATTCTTCTGCTCGGCTTATGTCTTCTGCGGTAGGTTCTCGGCGCCCTGACGCATAATTTAGTAATTTAGAAGTAGGGTCTAAAAGCGCCGCCTTGAAAATTCTGGCGCAAACAAAAACACGAGCAGTAGCTCTAAGCAAACGGATCCATCGGCTGAATCGAGTGGTGTCTGGGACCACTGGGTAAGGCAATTCGCGTGCAGTTGTTACAGTTACTACTTCCACAGGAGGTCGTTTCATTTCCTCGAAAACTAGTGGAATCTCGTTAAATGGCTCGGTTGGCCACTCGTACTCGGGACAAGCAAGAAAAGAAGGGCCAGAAAACCATCGAGATGAAATTTCGAATTTTGACGTGACTCTGGTAGCGTCGTCCGCCACGTTCAGTGCCGTTGGCACGTGCCGCCAATTAGATATGTTGGTAATCTCAGCGATCTCACCAATGCGATGCGCAACGAACGGCTTGAACGTGCGGGCGTCGCTACGCAACCACCTCAAAACGGTGAGGCTATCGGACCATAAGGTCACTCTTGAAATCGTGTAAAGCCGGTGAGCCTCTGTAATGTATGCCGCGAAACGTGCTGCGATAAGAGCAGCTTGGAGTTCAAGTCTC